ACCCAAACCCAAACCCAAACCCAAACCCAAACCCAAACCCAAACCCAAACCCAAACCCAAACCCAAACCCAAACCCAAACCCAAACCCAAACCCAAACCCAAACCCCAGGCCCAGGCCCAGGCCCAGGCCCAAACCCAAACCCAAACCCAAACCCAAACCCAAACCCAAACCCAAACCCAAACCCAAACCCAAACCCAAACCCAAACCCAAACCCAAACCCAAACCCAAACCCAAACCCAAACCCAAACCCAAACCCAAACCCAAACCCAAACCCAAACCCAAACCCAAACCCAAACCCAAACCCAAACCCAAACCCAAACCCAAACCCAAACCCAAACCCAAACCCAAACCCAAACCCAAACCCAAACCCAAACCCAAACCCAAACCCAAACCCAAACCCAAACCCAAACCCAAACCCAAACCCAAACCCAAACCCAAACCCAAACCCAAACCCAAACCCAAACCCAAACCCAAACCCAAACCCAAACCCAAACCCAAACCCAAACCCAAACCCAAACCCAAACCCAAACCCAAACCCAAACCCAAACCCAAACCCAAACCCAAACCCAAACCCAAACCCAAACCCAAACCCAAACCCAAACCCAAACCCAAACCCAAACCCAAACCCAAACCCAAACCCAAACCCAAACCCAAACCCAAACCCAAACCCAAACCCAAACCCAAACCCAAACCCAAACCCAAACCCAAACCCAAACCCAAACCCAAACCCAAACCCAAACCCAAACCCAAACCCAAACCCAAACCCAAACCCAAACCCAAACCCAAACCCAAACCCAAACCCAAACCCAAACCCAAACCCAAACCCAAACCCAAACCCAAACCCAAACCCAAACCCAAACCCAAACCCAAACCCAAACCCAAACCCAAACCCAAACCCAAACCCAAACCCAAACCCAAACCCAAACCCAAACCCAAACCCAAACCCAAACCCAAACCCAAACCCAAACCCAAACCCAAACCCAAACCCAAACCCAAACCCAAACCCAAACCCAAACCCAAACCCAAACCCAAACCCAAACCCAAACCCAAACCCAAACCCAAACCCAAACCCAAACCCAAACCCAAACCCAAACCCAAACCCAAACCCAAACCCAAACCCAAACCCAAACCCAAACCCAAACCCAAACCCAAACCCAAACCCAAACCCAAACCCAAACCCAAACCCAAACCCAAACCCAAACCCAAACCCAAACCCAAACCCAAACCCAAACCCAAACCCAAACCCAAACCCAAACCCAAACCCAAACCCAAACCTAAACTACACACAAAAACAAACGAGATAATTTATACACTATTGCATGCTTACAACAGGAAAGTACAATTAAACATGGTGAAGGTTTTGTTGGAGAGGAGGAAGCTGTTCCAAACACGGATATCATTACCAAATAAGAACAATTGATCTTCCTCAAGCACAGGGGTAGCAGTTACAGTGATAGGAATGGTGTAATCTGTGACGATCCAAGATCCAACAGGTTCATCAGAAGGTGCCGCAACTATTTGATTTTGGAACACTCCAGAGTTATAAGTAAATTCTCCGCTGTAAAATCCTCCAAATATGTACACCCAATTCTCTGCCACAACCATTGAACCGTCTGAAAATTGATATGGTAATACGGCATAAGTGTTCTCAAACTTTGAAGGTGTAAAATAGGACGCTCTTAAAATATCCGCATAAGGATCTCCGTCAGAATTCCTTCCTCCAAAAATGAAAATATAATCTTTGACTCTACCGATAATTCCACTGTAGATTGGAACTGGAAGCTTGTCGCTAAGGACTTGGAAAGACATTGGAGACATAACATGAGCTCGAAGTATGGTGGAAGTCACGTTCATCCAAAGTACAGGGTCATCACTACCGTCATTCATGCTGACAACACCTCCGAAAATGTAAAAATAATCATCAACTAGCAAGGACATTCCTGATGCAACTGGATAAGGCAAAGAAAAACGACTTAGCTCCCAACCTTTTTCAATGTTGCTCACTGAGACTCTATAAATTGCCTTTGAAATCGTATTGTTTACCACTCCACCGTACATGTAAAGGTAATCGTTCACTTTGAGTATGTGAGTATTGTAAATGGATCCCTGGAACATTCTGCCTGTATTATTGACATACTCTACAAGTTGGAAATTTACCATGGACGAATTTTTCTTATACAGGTAAAATCCATTGTCAGGGAAAAGTAAATAGTTGTCTCCTACAAATTGATATGAATCCTCGCCAACCTTGAAGAAAGGATATTTTCTTCTTTCCATGGCAAATCCGTAGGTGCTCATTCCAGTATAAACACTGGCAAAGGTTGATGTAGTAGTAGCATTGAATAGCTCCTTGTAACTGTTGGTACCTGTTCCCATCAATGCTCCACTGTTTGTCAAGAAAACTGTGGCTGCGCTAAAGGATGCAAATTCCAATACGTTAACAGTGGTGTTGTCTGCAATCTTGACCGGAGATGACTGTGGTGAAATTGTTGACCCTAATCCTAACTGTCCGAACTGATTATTGCCCCAGCTGTAAATTTGTGACGTGTTGGAAAGAGCAAATGAGACATAATGCCTTGCAAATATCTTTACCACAATACCCTTTGCGGTCGTGGGTATGACAGTGATTGGGGTGGGTTCTAATTGATTGGTGGTGGTTCCTGTTCCCAAAGCTCCATTCGTACCTTGTCCCCAGGCATACACTTTTCCTTCAGATGTCAGAACCAAGTTGTGATTATCTCCACACTGAATATCCACAATAGTCTTGTTGAGCAAAGAGCGGTTCATCACTACAGGTACAGCTTCCATGACGTAAGGTACTTTTGTTGACGAATCACCTGTTCCTAATTGGCCGTAAGTGTTATCTCCAAAAGAAAATAACATATTATCATTCGAAAGAACAAGAGTGTGCAAATCTCCTGCACAAACCTTCACGATCGTTCTGTTTTGCAAAGAACCCTTCATATAAATGTCAACTGGTCTTGGTTTTTGAATAAGAGTTCTGTCTCCGAGTTGTCCTCTATCATTCTTTCCCCATGAATACATCTTTCCTCTTTCATCAATGGCAAAGAAAGTGTTGGTTCCGGCCGCAATTTGCTCAATTTTCTTTGGTCCTTGCAAGTCCCATGAAAACACTTTAAAAGGCTTACTTCTTGGAAGAATGGTACCATCTCCAACCTCTCCATAGGCGTTTTGTCCCCATGAGTACAAAGCATCACCTGCCAATACAAGATTTGAGTAGTCGGAAGAAACAAGCTGAAGAACAGTAAGGTTTCTTGGTAAATCGACTGGGATGGACATTAAAGGATAGCCCCTTGTGTCAGTTCTTCCTAAACTTCCTCCTGTATCTGTTCCCCAAGAGTACACCAAACCATTGTAGTGAAGCATTAGGCCGTGTTTGGCTCCTGCCGAAATTCTGTTTCGTATTCTTGCAACTTTATGAGCAACGGCATGATTTGGAAGGTAACCGGTCGTCATTGTCAAATTGAGTCCAGTCTGAACCTTTCTGTAAGGGTTTAGCTGCCACTTCTCTGGTGTGTAGAGTATATCGGAAATGTTCTGTGTCGAGTCAGTCAATCGAAAATTTTAAAAGCCAATATTCATTTTCATGTAGACAACGGATCGCAAGGTGCATCGTTGGTAAAGAACTTTAAACACCTCAAAGATTAACTTACATAGGAAAATTCTGACAAAATGTCTTGTGTTTTTAAAAAACCAATGTCAGTGAGTTCAATCAAATTATTCAGTTCGTTTTCAACCTCCAATAGTTTTTGGTATTGCTTGTTTTTGTTTGTTAGCATGAGTTGATATTGAGCAAGAGGTATCCTCAATTTTTGGAGATCCATATAACTGGTTTCAATAGCTTCCACCGTGATATTGATTTTGAGTTTTACTCTTGACCTTTCAATCTCTTCTTTTTGAGCCATATAGTCCAAGTAAACTTGATAATAGCTATCTCTCCTTTCCCGGTAGAAGGAGAGTTTGTACAACATTTCAATTGCACTCATGTTTTGTGCCCACACCAAAGGTGCTGATGTTTAAGAAGATGTACAGAGTGATGAAGTATTATGAATATGCATTATTTTCATGGAAATAAATGATGATTTGATGATCCGTCCGTTTTCCGGCCATATGTGCGGAATCGACCAACATGTAATTATCGGAGAGTTAAACTTACCCATAGCAAAACAATATATCAGCAGAAAGAGTCCGATAAGGCATTTCATCATGGCTGCTTTCGAAACAAGCATCGTCGTAGAAGAGGTGTAAGGCCGCCTGTTTAAGGCTGCATTCATTTTTGCGAGTTTTTTTTACTGTAAACTTAAGCGGGACCACCGTAATACAGTCAAAAAAAACGAACGATCGACAATGAAATCAAGTCAGCATATGTTCGTTATCCACTCCACTAACCAGAAATGTTATCAAGCATTAGTTGGGAGTTGATGATGAACATAAAGCTTAAAGGGTTAAACGGTCATTGTGCCGAGCATTATGAATCTCGAAGGTTCCTTCGGAAATCAAGACCTGTGTTTAGATTCATAATGAACAATATTCATCATTTAGTTCGCTTCTCATCCTCTCTTCAGTTCTCATTCTTGAACAAGTTTTCAACAACTCGAGGAATAGATGCAATAAACCAAAAACAATTCTTCCAAATATTGCGAATAATGGTGGAGATGACAAACAAATCGATCCGAACGAATAGAATTGGTAATGCAATGAACATTTCAATGTGGTTTTTGCAAATATTGTTAACATGTGTAAACATCTTGATCTTTCCCGTCAAACAACAGTGATCAATAAAAAAAGATCAATAATTATTTCTCTTTGCGAGACATGAGTGACAATGTGTCCTGTTTTCGAGCAATGAACATCATTTGCAAGATGTAACCTATCCACCGAAGCAACAAGTAAATCATCTTGCAATACCTATGGTCCATGTATTGAATCACGAAGATTTTTATGTAATTCCAACATGTAAATTTGTGTGAGTCACATCCTAATCATATAATCTCAATTTGATATTAACATGAACACCATTTCCATTCTTCACAACTTGATGAGTGATTTCAGGTGTCATGGTCTGCTGAACTTGTACTTTCTTCTTTTCTTCCTGTTGTTGAATAATTTGTTGCAAATCTTGTTCAGTCACAGGTTTCACACCAGCTGCAACATCTCGTTCTTCCTCACGAGCCAATCTCTTCTTTTCTCTTGCCAATCTCAATGCCTCTCTTCTTATTTGAGCCTCAGAAGGTTGTTGAGAAAGATTATTTTGACCTTCTTTTGTTCTTCTTAACTCTCGGTCGAGTCTTTTTTGAACACGAACTTTTCTTCTTTCTTCTCTCAAAATACTAATATTGTTAGGCTCATCATTAGAAAGAACAGTTGCCGCAACTTCCTTGTATTTGGTTGGTGCTGGATTCTTTGGAGCACCTCCCAAATTTGGCATTGAATTTCTTCTTTGATGTCTTTGATCTTTGATGGCATCATTAACCATTCTTCTGTTTTGTCTCATGTTGTGAACTTGTTGTTGTTGAGGAGCTTGTGGTGGTTGAGGAGCTTGCAATGCAACCAATTGATGTTGATGATCGCAAATCTTTACTCCAACATCGACTTGCTGTAAATTATTTTGATTCATAATTTCATTTCCTAAATTGAAATAAGATGGAATTCTGCTTTGCACAGCAGCGGCAGATTGTTGTGAACCACTATAAGAGAAACCATTCACAAAACGAACTTCATAAATGACAGTAGCTTGACCACCCACATTGACACCAAATCTTCCAAATGCATTGTCGAAAACAGCTCCATTAGTGGAGAATAAATCTCTTCCATTATTTCTGAACAAGTTTTGGAAAAATTCATTGGCCGAGAATGGAAAATTTGTGTTCAATTCATACTTTTTGGCAAAGTAATACGTGTCGGATTGGCCAAAACATTTACCAATGCAGTTAGGATGTGAAACACATTCTCCAAGTTGAGGTGTGGCTCCTCTAATAGGATTAAAGTAAGCTCTGAAACGCTCATAGGCTTCCACAACAGTGTTCAGTGGATTTTGCAACAAGTTACGAACCGATTGTTGACCACCATGATTCACAAATTCATACATGTTCGTACGAAGAAGAACCATTCCTGAAACGAGTTTAGCATAAGGTCCAGCATTACAATTGCCTTGTGATCCCAATGAGAAGTACTGAAGCATGAAAAAGAGGAAGAACTTGACATTGTCAGGATAATTACTCAAGTGTTGATCGGTATCAATGAATGTGATGATATGACTAAACAGTGGATAATCAACAGCTTTGAACCATGAAGGTTGATTTTGTGGAGCTGGTTCTGCTTGTCTTGCTGCCAGGAAACGAGAGAGGGCTCTCAATGAAAACATTCCCTTGTTAATTGGGAAAGAAAAGGTAATTTGTAAGGCCTGATCAACTGCTCCATTGTTTGCATTGACTAAATTCAAACCACGTTGTCTGAAATAATTGTCTAAAATGTTGTTTTCGTTTCCTTGTTGTCGAACATGGTCGAGCATTTGCTGTAAATCTTGAGTGACTCGACAAATGTCATTGAGACCTCTGTGTGAGTTTTAAAGAACAATATCAGTGAGAAAACCATTTCGCATGTGCGAAAGAGAGTTCATCGTGTTGAGAAACATGATGATCGTGTGTGAGTGTGATGACTTACCTTGCGAAAGGAATCGGATCGCTCACAAATTCCACAGGATGTGTGTTTTGATCAATAATTTCAAAAGTTGGATGAACGAGTGGTACTTGGCCATGTTGATATCCTGGGGCATGATCCACCAAGTCACCCTATGATGGTTGTTGTAGTGAACAAGATGGATTTTCAATGAAAATGTTTTTTCAAACAGTTCGAGAGAAATCATCATCAGAAGCCAATATCAACCATGTTTTCAAAGTCTTTACAAACCCAAACACTCAAAACATACCTTTCTCAATCTTACTTGTCCCTGTTGTCCATTGAATGTAACTTCTGTCACTTGTCGATTTGAAACACCTCCTTGGAAACGAGCAGTATTGGACTCGGTTTCAAAGCCCATCTTTTGAGCAAATGCCAGTTGTATAGCCAACAAAAGGCAGATCATACAAACAACGAGCTTGGACATGATTAGACCCTTTCTCTCACCATCCTTGGACATTTTTATTATTAATTTTTTTGAGACTGAAATGAACTTGATGCCTAACCTGCTGTGACATCACAATATGAACCTTCGTTAGTGACAAGCAAAGAGCGCTTGTGTTCAGTGAGGTAATTCAATTAACCAGGATCGACGGAATGGATCGGATTGCTCCAGCGATTATTTTTGAACTTTCTACCAGTCAATCTAATCCAATCCTAAAATCCGATCTATTTAAATTTCCTCAGCGAAGCATTGCAGGAATCAAAACCATTCCGCTATCACAAACTACTGCTGTTAACAATCGTTTCTGACCTTACCTGAGAACGCAGCTTTACGTTTCTTAAAACTCTGTATTCTTCCAAATATATCACTTAGTGTCATCTTGAGCTGCGTTTCCAAATAAATATCACAAAAAAAAATTTTCAATTCACAAAATGATCGATCGCTTGAATCCCATCCTCTCGATCAATTATAATGGGTATAGCACCATTGAGAGTCCACAAAATATTGTTGATTCACCCTATCCGTACGCCCATAATTTCAATTGGAAACAATCACTCTCACAAACAACATCAAGGCTCTCTCATTATGCATCATTTGCAATTCTTTCTGGATCCATGAGTCGTGGAAATACATCAAAACGAGTCTGTGTCTATGATACTTCTGTACTTCGGGTGCAAAATATTGTAGCTGGAGAGGATTTCATAGTGTGCTTGTCCCATGAAGGACATTGTTTTATTACCCTCTCAGAGGATGATCCGAGATTTGAAAATTGGAGATCAGGAATGGGATTAGAGAGTGATAATCCCGATCAATTTCAATTGATTCAGAAAACATTAGAAGATCCGATTGAACAAGTTTTTGGTCATACCTATTGTGTTCTTCTCACGAGAAAAGGCGATGTTTATGTTTACACGGAAAAAGATGGATGGAATGGCAAGATAGATCGGAATGAATATTTTGATGGCGAGAAGATTATTCATGTTGGTCTCGGAAATGAACATGCATTGTTTGTTTCGGAGAGTGGAAAAGTTTTTGGATATGGGTCGAATTGTAAGTCATTGGTTGTGCACGTTAATCATCACACGTGATGATGATATAATTTCTATAACAATAATAATAATAATTGAATGATCGAATTGTCACACTTTTAAAAAATAATATATAATGGAATCACTATATACGACATCCTTAAAAATTATGAAAAATATTACATTAATTTTCAAATTTACAATAGCAAGTACACAATTAGCTTGTCTTGATCGGTGGTATTCTGAACTAAAATTTGTAAGGTAAGTGGTGATGAGAGGTTGTGAAATTTACATTTTCTTGCGCAATGTTGTCAAATGTTTTACACTTTTTCAATGACGTTTTTCACACCACCCACCATGAATGAACAGAATTGATGTTTCTCACATTTCCGATAAAATATGTAAGGCTTATGCAACCTACAACACATCCTTCTTGCTAACAGAGACAGGAGCTTTGTATGCATGTGGAGATAGTACTTATGCAGCCAATGGATTAACTTCTCTCGGTTCACCCTATCAATGTCATAAATTCACCCAAGTTCCAATTTCAGAGAAAGTGGAAGATGTTTCTCCTGGTCTTTTCTTTGTGGCAGTGAAAACTGTCGATAACAAATACTACGTTTTTGGATACAATAATTTTAGTCAGGTAAGTATTATTTATGGTTTTTCAACTTGCTTGAATGATACCATCCTTTTTCAAATATACATTTCTCAAATGTCCCATTAGTTCGGAAAAACTTCAACATTATATGAAAAGATTGATGGCCCTCATTTGCTGGACTCTTTTTCACCATTCTCTAATATTGACAGGATAGAATGTGGTGGCTACAATTCAATCATAGTCACTAAGGATAAGAAGGTCTTTATTGCGGGATGGGTAAGTTTTTTTCGAATGCAAAAAACTCTTCATACGATATTTATTTAACAACAAATGCACTACCTTTTATTCGATCTGAAATGGTTGTTGATTGGAATTCATTGGACATTTATTTTGAAAATTTGATTATTGAATTCACTTTACCCTCTGTAAGGCAATTGATTCACCTTTTTATCCAAGAGTTTCGGACAAGTACAATTTACTTGATCTGGATAGTCTGCTCAGAGAATGTACACGAGGTCACATCTCTCTCAATAACAACACTTCACTTCGTGCAACCATGGGAAGATATTTCAGTGTCATTTTCACAATTCCAAATTCCAAATTTACACGAAATTTCAAGAGATCCCACATCTTGTGTGACATTTCCATCATTACACATTCATTCTCATCCCCAGAAAATGACAACCAATTCATTCCATCATTTATGATTGATCCAACGAGTTTCTTTGAATAAATTTGAATATTCAGAAAAAGATTTTCGAAAAATCTTTCGCATTAAAAAAATGAAAAAACTGTTTGGTTCCATTGTTAAGCCTCCCTGCACAGTGGATGTTGATTTAGAGCCATCGGGAAAAGCCACAACTGGAAAGTCTACTATACTGGTGAACAATCCAAAAGATAGATTTGGAAACGAAGGAGTTGAACAACGATTGCTTGTTTTTGATCAATCCGATCCAATTCAAGGAAAGGTTAAGCTGAGTGTCGAGAAACCTTTTGACCATCTTGGTATCACGATTGAATTATTTGGAGAAATTGGTAGGTTGTTCTGTAATGATGTATTGTATCGGAGAGGTGAAATTTATTGTTTGTATGTGGTGTGGTTTGGCACTTCATTTCCATAATTTTTATGGGTCTTTGTGTTGTTTTCGACATCGGCATTAACTACTTGTAACAAACACGACCATTCAATGACGAAATCTTTTAACGTTGATGATACTCATTATATTTCAACAACAATGATTCAACCAACCAATAATAATTTAAAATTCATGATTATTATAATTATATTCACTGATGATATCGAATAATTATTATTATTGACATTTATCATCATCATACACAAAATGTTCAAATTACATTCTCAATCAACCTAATTATCAAATAATCCATTTACACACAACACTAAAATTTTCCGTAATACTCCTTCAGTCACCTACTTGGATGGCCGCAACGTTTCAACTTTCTTATCCCTCTCGAAGGAATTGGCACCACCAACTGCTCCAAATTGTCCTCTCTCAAGAGATGCCGAATATGAATTTAGCTTTAAATCAGTGGACAAGGAATGGAACAGTTATCGTGGTATCAATGTGGATGTGAGATATTATTTGAGAGTCACTGTAAATCGTTCTGTAAAAGTTATCAACACAATTATCAAGGAACAAGAGTTTTGGGTCCAAAAGATTGTTCCAAAACCATCAGAGGATGATCCTGGAATTGGAATGGAAGTTGGATTGGAAGGAATTGTTTTACTTTCGATCAAATATAACAATGTTCAACACGATATTAAGAATGGTTGCATTTTGGGAGATTTACAATTTTTCCTTGTGAATGTTAAAATTGATAAGGCCGAAGTGAGCATCATTAGAAAAGAGACTCTTTTGGGAACTCCAAGTTTGCAAGTTTCTATGCCTTCCTCTTCGTTTAAATCAAATTCAGCAGTTGATGAAGGCCACTCTGAGCAAGAGGTTTTGCACAAATTTGAAATAATTGATGGAACACCTGCCAAAGACGAGAAGGTTCCTGTTCGACTTTATTTAAGGGCAATCGAGCCATGGAAATTAACGAACACTGAAGAATCTGTCAATAAGAAATTCAGTGTGAAATATTTCATTCATTTGGCTTTGTGTGACACCAAAGGAAGAAGATTTTTCAAGCAACGAGAAATCCAGCTTTATCGTACTGGACTTTAGAGGTTGTGTAAAATAAGATCAATAAAAAATTGCACAATTTGAAGTGATTCTACTAATGAGGTGGATCCAAACTGCCTTACAACAAAACAGTCGCTCTATAAAATAAATTACGAAAATATTTACTTTCAAGAGAGAGTTGATTAGGATAAATTATGTTAGAGAAAAAGAAACGCAAAGGTATATATATCAGGAATGACAATTTGTGGAAATATGTGGAATGCTTTCACACTTAATTGGATTTAAGCTTTCCCAAAAAGAATTGCAGCATGTGTTTCCATCCGTATTGGGTCTTCTTACCAAAAGTACATCGAGCTCTCTTCATGACAAGTTCCTTCTTTTCTTCAAGAGTCATTTTGCCACTCTTGTCAACAAAGTGTTTGGCAACTTCATCCCATTGTTGGCTAAAGATCCAATACAACAAGACACCTTCTTCACAATCTGTGAACATGGTTGCTTGGTTATCGGCATATTCTTGTTCATGGAGATCATAATGAGCGTCAGCATCATTCCAATGAACAGAAACAGCATGATGATGAATGGCATGATAGTCTTCACCCCAAACGTTATCATGTCCATGCACAATGGTCACTGAGTTAATGTATGGATTGGTTGGATCTTTAGGATCAATCCACAAGTGCCACATGTAAGAAATGGCTGCAAAGAAGACAATAGCTTCCAATTGAGGTAAAATCACATAAGAAAAAGTGAAAGTAAATCCCATTGAATAGTAACTCAACATCCACAATCCATAATAAACAATCATTCCTTTCAAAATGTCCCATGCAAACTTGTATTCACCATGCACAAGAAAATGGAAGAAGCATGAAGTACCAACCCAGTAAGAGCCAAATCTTGGTGCATACATGATAAAACTCCAAGATTTAGTTCGATCTAAATCAATATTGGTATGAACGTCATCCAAACCATTGTCATATTTGTGATGAATCTTGTTGTGACCGATACAATATGAATTTGGAACTTGGCCGTAAAAAGGTCCCAAGAACCATTGAACATACCAATGGTTCAATTTACAAAGGAATGTCTTGTCATTGAAGAATCCAATGTGGTCGTGACCTTCCTTGTGCAAAAGGACGTGTAAATGAGTAAAGAATCGAAAACGAGGACCCAAACGAAGTAAGTGATAAAGGAAGAAGAACCAAAATTCGAATCCATAATGGTAGCTATTGTGTGAAATGATTGTAATGAATGATGGTTTTGACATGGTTGTGAAATGGTTGTGAAATAGCGTGGTATCATGGATTTTGATGAAATTTCACACGTGAGAAAAAAATTCAATGAGATGCCAAATGTCAGGTCGAAAAGGAAGGTTAAAAACACAAACATGACAATGTGTCAACAAATTGACTTCAGAGATGACAGCTGCTACTTACAATCTATACACAGCAACTCCAAAAATAGTTGGGCACAACACCGTTAACCACAACAATGAAGGAATGAACTCTGAATTTTTCTCATTGTTCATAATTTTCTTAGCAGCATATTTAGCAAATTTCTCATAAACCAAATCTGGAATGGATCGAATCAAGGGAACCCTAGATAAAAACAAATTCCATGAATTCTTAATCGCTGTCATCCAAACATTTGACAAGGTCAATAAAACTATAACTGGTGGAGTCAATGGAGCCATAATGCACAATCCTAAAAATGCACTAAACCAATCTGGCCACAAACACCATGGATATGGTCTCCATGGACGATCTGATGTGGTTTCAACAATATCTGCATTGTAGTGAATGTGTCTGAATGAAATTCCTTTTAAGGAAGATTTGGTGACTGCAACGTCATGTGAACTTGGAGTCGCTGGAGCTACTTTGGCACAATCTCGTTCCTCTCTTGAGGAGGACTTGGATTGGTGAGTAGTAGTGGTTGTGGTAGAAGCAGTGACAGCCATGGCAATTCAATTGGCAAATCAATGATGTGGAAACAATTGTTAAAAAATGTCAATATTTTGAAATGTCTATTGAAAAGTGACAGGTAAAAGAGATTCGGGTGAACAACACGTTCGAATCGGATCAAATCAGTCATAATCCCGAAAGAAGAAACAAAGCCATTTCGTTGTCAGGAACATGGCAATCAAATCCACATCCATGGGTCATCATCATCAACATGACCATACATGACAGCCATGTCATTGTTAAGCCAAATACGAGAGTGGTCATGTTGTTTGATATTCACAAGATTATTTGGAGAAATGAATGTTGAGAGGTAATGATGATGTGTATATTTCAATAATCATGACATCATTATCCATTCACCCATTCATACGAGTTATTGAAAAAAGGTCATTTGAGAAAGTTGTATGTAGGAATGACAGATTGAAAACGTCAATAATGATGCCATCATTCATAACAGTTGACAACCAAACAAACAAACACTTACTGTTCAAACAAATACTCAAAGTGTAGGATTGAGTCAAAGAGAACTTTCTTCTGTCAATATTCTTCAAGACAAGACGACAACACTCACCACAAGGATGACAACAACTTGTGTGATTGATTTCACTTGAAAAGAAAGGAACCACTTGGTCGTGATGGTGAATGAGTGTGAGTGTGAGTGTGTGGTATAATTGTATTTGTCAATGAATAATACGATGATGCAGCACTCACACACACACGAACGATGGATATAGTGAGTAGTGAAAAACAAGTTGTTGGCTGTTGTTTTGTTTTTTTTTTGTTTTTGGAAAATGCTCGAGATGCGGAAACCGAGAATTGTCCATTCTCTTGGAAATGCGATTCGAACCAAGACAACTCAGCAGAAGAAGAAGGAATTTTTCACTCACTGAAAGAGGAGAGTGGGTAGCATGTTCTACCACTGAAACGGTGCGACGACAATTGGACCATGTGATTAATATGGAGAGCTTGGTGTTCACTTGCTCAATCACTATATCCATTGAAGTGAACTTGCTTTATCAATGATGACGATGATTGTTGTTCAAACATTGGCGATGAAACGAAATCCCTTTGGTCACAATGGAGTGGATGAATGCGCGACCAAGTCTCGTGCAATGCAGAAGAGAAAGGGAAAAGAGAGAACTGTTGAATGCGAGGCGCACATTTGGATATGCATCCGCTCTGAGTACTATCATCGTAGTAAAGCAGCACACGCGACTTGGATTTGACAACATGTTGTTATTAGAGTCGGAAGTCCTCCATATTCCTTTTATAGGATAATTGACGAGAACAGAATTCAGATCGAGAAAATTTAGGAATTTTCTCGCTCTCATGTACAATTGCAGTTTAATGAGAGTGAGAGGATGAGCACGGTCGATGCAATTCTAATTCAAGGGTTTAGAATGTCTACTACTCGCAAAGCGACATAAATAATACAGTACTGTCCAATCATCTGCTTCATCAACCAACTCATTGATTTATACAACAATGAGAAAGTCAAGAGTGAATTGGCTCAATAAATTGTGTTCGCAAATACTCTGAGTATTATATGAAAGATCATCCTTTTGAATGAAATAACACAGTACAAATGTTTAATCCTCCACACACAACATGGAAATATCAGCAAAATTGTTGACATTACCTCCCTCAATACCCAACAAATCAAATCCCATTTCCAACTTCTTCTTACCCTCAACTGCTTTGAACCATTTATCTGGCTGTATGAGACAAAGCATTAAAAGTCTGAAAAGTTCTGTCGTTTCTTGTTCGTTTCTTTGAGTGAAATACACAATGGTGGCATAGGTGCTACAGACAATATTCATTCGTTTGGTTCTCCATCTCTTTTGTTGATATTGATAAATGGTCTCCAAATCCAAAAGGCGAACAGGAGTGATATGATGATCGTCTGCTCCTGCTGACTCAATGCCTAGTTGATTAAATTCATTAAGTCCTAGTGAAAAAACTTCGACATCTTGTGGAGATTTCTTAGAGCGTTTCGTATAGACCAAGTGACACTTTCCAACATAAATATCTAAAACATCTGGATCTGATAAAATTGTTGAGCGCATGGGTGGAATGACATCTTTGGCAAAACCAACAGCGGCATGTCCATATTGATTATCTCCCATCACATAAAAATTGCCATTCGAATCACGCAAATATGAAGTCAGAGAGTTGGAAAAAATGTCCGTAATGGTAATGTTGCCAAACGATTTGTAAAGTTCTGTCAGCAGAGTGAAACATTCTTTGGTACCAGTGCTACCAATTTCTCCATAATTGTTGGATCCTGTCACAAATACCTCTCCACTTGCAGTGAGGGCAATCGTGTGATAATCTCCTGCCTGAACTTTGACAATTCTAGATTTGGTGAATTTTGTGGTGTCTAACTTGGTCAGAGTATTCACATGTTGAGGGAATGAGTTACCAAGTTGGAAATCAGTATTGTCTCCACACATGTAAACGTTGTGATCCGCACTCAAAACAACTGTATGATCATAACCACACACAACTTGGAGAATTTGTTGAACAGTGCCAAAGTTGTTATTCTTGACTCTTGCAAGTGAGCGAATTTCTGGATCAAAAGTACCAACTCCACACTGTCCATATCTGTTGCTTCCGCACGAATACAAGGTCATGTTATCATTGGCAAGGAATAATGTATGTTCCCCTCGAGAAAATATTTCCTTAATATTCAAAAATTGTGCATCTCGAATTTCATCAAGATCATTTCCAGGATGTCCAAGTTGGTGACAAGCATTTTCACCACATGACCAAATTCTTCCGGATTGACTCAAGAAAAATGTACTATCAAAGCCAGCGGCCACAAATATAATTTCTTCAGTAATGTAAGAAAAGTTGTTGGCAAACATGTGACCAGAGTTAGTTTTTGTAGTGGCAGCAGTCATGACTGATGAGGAGGAGGACAAAAATCGATGAATATCAATTGGATGAATGACTGTCGTTTCGATACCTTCTGCAAAACTAGAACTTGAACCAAAGATGGAACTGCGAGAACCTGACTTGTTTGATGAGGAGGATGTTCCATTGCTGCTATGACTTCCGAAAGGATTTTTTTCAGAGCTCGACGAATGGTTGCTCGACATTTTCGTTAAATATACTCCATTAGTGGCAATGTCAGTCGAAAGATTGTTGGAAATTGGATTGTCCATTGTTGGATTGTTAAGGAAAGGTGAAAGATAGGTCACACTATCGACAGAACTCTTGAAATAGGGTTGTGGATTATGATACATGATGAAAGAGGGATCCAAATGTTGTTGTTGTTGGCGGTGGTGATGTTGAAATAAATCTCTTTCGTCATTGGTATTGTACAGCATGTGGTAGTTGTCATCATCTTTCATGTGACAATCTGGATGATCATTGATGGACGGAGCATGGTTTTGGCCGTTGTTGCATAAATTCGAAGGAGGAAGGTTGTTCGCCGTCGTTGACAAGGAATATAATAATTGTTGGCCAATGGAGGTTGGCATTGGAGCAATATTCAAGAGTGACGAAGAAATTGAGAAAGAGCTCGCTTGTTGGATATCCATGAAATCCTCTGTTGGTAAGGATTGCTGTTCCATCGTCGATAACAACATGGAAGAATCATCGTCTGCGAGCGAGAGAGAGATTGCTGGTGGTTTGAGAAGAAATGAAGCATCTGTGTTGCCATCGACCATCATTCCGTCATGATGATGGTCAGCACTTGTGGTGAACATGTCTGTTGTTGCTGCTGAGGATGTAACTTGAAGAGGATGATGATGATGAAAATTATTGAACGAGTGTTGTTGTTGCTGGATGTTCTTAGGTTGTTGTTGTTGCTGATGATGATGATGTTGAGAAGGATTGTGAGCTGAATTGGAAGATCTCCTCGTTGATGTGATTTTAGAGTTGGACAAGGACAAGCGATCAATAGGTGCTGATTTTCCAATCTTGTACAACCTTGTCGATTTCGATAATACAAATTGATCCACTGCAATGTCATGCAACAGATTATATCGATTATCTCCACAATAGAAAATCTTGTAGTGATGATAGGGACGAATGAGAGAACCACTTGGCAAATGCTTTTTTGGATGATGAGCATCCACGGGTGTGGTGGAGAGTCCTTTCGAACCTGTACTACTCTCCGTTGAGAAACGAGGGTTGTTGTAAGATGGAATGTTCAAAAAGTGTTGTTGTTGTTGTAAATCATAGGGATGCATATTTGCAGAGGTGGCCAAGTGTGAGTGTGGATTATTCCAAGAGGAATGAATGGTTGTCGTCGCTCCAACAACAGCCGTAGAACCAACAGTGGTGGAATATTGAAGAGGATGGGTCGAGGAGGAGGGCGTATGAACTACACCACCTCTACCAGGTGAATGATGTCCCAACAAGAGATAATCCAAACCATCGAGAGAGGCTGAACCCGAATTGGTTCCAGGAGTCATTGTATTAAAGGCATCATCATCTTCATGTTTGGGAGAGGAGGAAGGAGAGGAGTTATGACTTCTCGACGTTGAGGAGGAACATGAAGTGTTCGTCGTGGGAGTGGTTTGTTGTTGTTGTTGATGATGATGAGTCGAGTTGTTATTGTTGGAAGAAGAACCAACAGAACCAACGGAATTCAAAACTGAATGAGTGGTGATCGCCGTAGAAGTGATGGAATTGGTCTTGTTTGCTCTCGCAGCTCGAAGGTGTTGAGGTGGAACGGCATCGTCTTGTCGTGAGGAGCTTTCGGTTGAGGCTAAACTATTGAACTTGATGGCTTGGCCGAAGAGTTTGACAAGAGGTTGCATGATGGAGTTAGAGGAAGAACAGACAATGTGCTTGCTGATGATGAGAAGTTGGTCTTGGCGGTGGTGAGTGATGGTGCGTTTGAGAGTATGATGATTGGAACAGGAACACGAAAATGAGTTCAAAAGTCAACTCGAAGAAGAATGGCGTGATGATGATGCTGTTGTGGATCACTCTCCGCTGATGTTACTACAAACTACGAATGGAGATGAATGAATGCGTGTTGCTGAGTGTGGTGAGATGTTGTATAATATTGATTGTTGTTGTGGTTCGTGTTGTTGTCAAAGTTGAAAGGTGCTGAACGAATACAAAACTCTTTCGCTTTTCAACTCTTTGATGTCAATAAGTCCGTAACGGAAGAACAATGTCGACGACAACAGTGAGATGATGATGGTTTAAAAACTCGTGGTGGTTCTCGTTGTTATTAAACAATGGAGAGAGTGATGTCAAAAGCAATTGTTCTTTTCAAACACACGCAAGAATATATTCCAAATATTCTTTCTACAAGAAAATGTTGTGTCTGGAATAGTGTGTTTCAGAATCGAGGAGGAGACGTTTTTTTGTCTGAATTTTCAGGTATGGTAGTGGCACTATTTATTTGGCTGTTGTTTTGAAGTCACTTTTGAACACGACAGAGATTGGTTGTATTTGAATTGGAGTGAGGGTTGAGGTGGGCGGCAGGTTCAAAAGACCTGTCCTTCTGTGGGACACAATACAACAAGGTTTCAAAAGGAAATCTAACATCTATTTGAAAGATTGGTAAATTAAGTTTTTGTAATGTATGACAACTTTTAGTGACTGCAGACATCATCGTCTCGCTTGTCGCTGACAACACAAAACCGTTCGATTATGGATGTGAAATTATTTATCCCAATAAAGAGTGAAGTGATGAAATTTTAGAAGAAAATTGATATTGGAATGGAATAGTACATATTGTTCAACATCTAGTCTCACTCCAAATGCCATGTTTTTGATCCATTTTAGAAGTATTCCTGTTTGGAAATCACTCATTGAGTAGCATGGTACCTCAGGATCATTAGACAATTCCTGATAAGTCCAACAATTGCGAAACCAAATTAACTGTCAATTATTGTTGTTCTAAGCTTCTTTCGATTGCTTCCTTTAGCGCCTCATCTTCATCATCCTCGTCGTCTTCCGATGTTTGTTGTGCTGCTGCTTGGGGTTGTGTCAAGTGACGATTGGCCTCCCAAAACATTGATTCCATTCTTGCAAATTCAACAGCTCGTTTCCACTCATCACTATTTATGTTAGGAGTTGGCATTGGTACAGTGGATTGTTGATGTTGTCGGGCACCGGTGCCAGACAAAATACTTTCTTGCATTTTTGTAATAAAATCAATCGTATTGTCTTGTTGAGGTCGGCTGCTTGAGGATGAAGCACGTGAGCGACTTGTCACAGATTTGGGATCAAATGTTTCAGAATATAACTCAGCCTCACATGGAGGTAATTCTCCCTTAACAACATAAATTGAATATCCTTCTTGTTTCAACTGCTCAATAAAAAGAGAAATATGAGTAGGTGAAAGATAGGTTGGTTCTTTCAATGTTGAATTTAGATTAAACCAATGATTTCCAAATTTTCTAAAGACAAACCAATGTTCCAGATGATTGCAAATAAAAGCTTTTTTCTTCCCAAGGTTTTTCTCTGGTTTGTCACCAATGAAGGCATAATCACAGAAAATCATTGTTCATTCCGTTCGTAAAAATCATTATATACAAATTGCAAATTGGATCATTTGAATGTCGGACATTAATTCGAGAATCATGAAATTATTTCGATCAATAATAATGGAAACAAATTTCAGTAAACGAATGAATGAAACATCATATTGATCATTCAATGGTTAATGTGTTGCTAAAGTAAACGCAATGCATCATCTTACCTGATGGATTGAACAATGCTTGGATGTGTGATCGGAATTAAATTCAGTCCCCAAACTTCAAGACTTGTGGAAATAACTCCAATACTAAAATCTCCTTCATCACTCACGTTATGACTCGTCCTTGTTTGCTGTTGCACCCCGGATTCAGCTTGCAATAATTCAGCTTCCTTCCTATCTAAATTACGTGCAATTTCCATCAAATCAATTTCTGTAAAATAGGCTCCCTGAAGGAGATTATTTAGAGAATGCATGGCACATAATCTTCCTTCTTGTTTTTCATCTGTGTTATGATTAATTTAATATTGTTTTTAATTCATTTAATTATTTAAATAATAAATAATATTGATCAATAATATTTCCGATTGATCATGTCTCATATTGATCATTCAACAACATACGATAGATGTTAGAGATCATTTTTTTTGGAAAAAATGTCGAGTTCATCATCGGAGCAGCAACTTCGACTTGATCAACTCCCTTCCGAAATATTGAATCTCATCATTCATTTTCTAGCGGAACGTGAAAATGATGTTTTTAATTTTTCTGTTACTACTAAAGCAATGTATGAAATGTTGTTAGAAAGTAATATTCATGTACTCGCTATCAAAATTTCTAGTGATATCAGGAAGTTTGGCAAGTTATCCTCCCAACAATTACGTAATTCCCAACAGAAGAGAAATTATGGAGTATTCAAACATGATGCGAAAATGAAAGACAATCACAAAGAATTCAATAATAATCACAGAAAAAAAAAGTCAAAAAAAGAGCAAGATCAACATCCAGGGCTTACATTGATAGACAGAGTAGTTTCTTTGGTTTATTCACAAAAACAAACAGACACTCGTGATAAAGACGAGAAATTTAGAAACAAAATGCTGCTTGATCATTTTACAATGCTGAAATCAAGTCTTCGAGAGACAAAACTTATGCTCCATTCTGTGTCTGACACTGAAAGTATTCAACATAGATGGAACACATTCATGAACGCATTCGTTTTTTATGAGTATGGTCAGAGTGTCTGTGAAGTACTTTCAAAATACATATTTCAAAAAACGACATATGAAAGATGGCACACGAGAAGTGACAATGAAGCGTATCCTAGATTTACTGTCATTAAAGGGGATATGTGTCTGCGAAATATTCGTCTTCATTTCAAATCCGAGGAAAATGAGGATGGTCATGGAACATGGGATCTTTATTATGAGAAAGGAGATGATGATCATCATATCCTTTATGTACTATCTATGGAATCTGGAGTAATGATAGCAGAAATCGACAATTTAGAATTATTGAGACAGAAAATATTCGAGGATAGCAAAGACAAGGACGAAAAGTTGGCCATTGGTAAGATCACTAATGAGTTGTTCATGCTTGTTTTACTGTTCCTTATTAAATGCAACTATCAAGAATCGCTAATTCCACATCGAATTGACTTGAGATAATTCCCTCGATGCATGAAGCACCAAACATCAGAATGTAACGATCAATTTATTGAAAGATATTTACACACATGATGAAATAATTTGATACATTCACAAATCACATCTAGACACTGGTTGGAACGAGTATCAGCTTATTTCCTTCTGGACAAATCACGGCTGGAAATTCTTGTTCGCCCACCATTAACAAGGAGGCACCTGAAAATTCCTTAATTTTCTCAAGAGTGCTTTGTAACTTGTCGGCAGGTACATAGATCTTACTTTCAGTGGTCACGCCGCTTGATGATTGATCGTGGTTGACTTCAGTTGAACTAGCTGCTGTTGAAGATTCTGAAGTAGCAACCACCATAGTTGGTGAAGAAGATCGTTGCTTCTTCTTTGGACTCAAAGTTCCTCTCAACTTGTATCCCTTCAGTTTGAAATCAGGTTCAAACGAGTCATCACCGTCCTTCTTGGTTTCTTCTTGATCCTCCTTTTCATTCGCAGAGGTTGTGGATTCATTGACGGGCAATGGTGATGAAGATGGAGATTGAACACTGGCACCACTTTCCTCGATCACCTCCACACCAAAGACAGCCTTATAAAAACTCAAGGCACGTTCCTTATCTTCATACAAGAGTGTAAGTTCGACCGAATCGTCATCCTCAATTGTAGCATTATGAGAGTCACATGTTTCCTCTGAGTTTGACACCTTAGTAATCTCCATTTCCTGGCCATGAACTGTTCCATCATCGTCATCAAAAACCTTTTGAGTCGAAGAATCCTCTTCACTGGTTGATTCAGAACTCTCAACGACGACCAACTTTGTCTTTTTGGTTTGAGATTCATGGTTACAAGACTCCTCATTGGTGCCGACTGTGCCTTCAGAGGAAGCATCAAGAGCCTTACTATCATGACCATCTTCATTAGAAGCCTCTTCTTCTCTCTTTCTCTTGAGGAGAGAGGAAGCCTCTTCTTCTTCTCCATTCGCGTGCAATGGTGGTTGAAGTGAGGAATGAGCAATTTGGGAGGACTCGTCGTTGTTGATTTCGATTCCATCCACGACTACTACTCCTTCAGAACAAGCGTTCATTGGAGTTGTAGAATCAGCAACTACTGGAGAGGTGGTAGTGTCCATGATTGCGACGATTGGTTAAGTTGTTGAGTGTTGGGTTGTTTGGTTGTTTTTTTTTGTGTTGGTAAAAGCTCTACTACAAGAAGTGACAATCAAGTTTTAAAGCCTTTTTCACTCTTGACACTTCCACATAAGGTTGGAATTTACATGTGATTTTGGCGCCAGCCAAGAGTCTACAAGAAAAGCCTTTTTGCATGCAGTATTGAAAGGCTTTCTTCTACCCAATTGATGATTTTGAGAATGAAATTCGACTTATTAATTCCAAAAATGGTGTTGAATTGTCCTGGTGAAGAATTAGCAAAAAAATGTCTTCAGTCCACACAAGCAGCGTGGGAACAAGATTTTCATCGAATCCAATAACAAGTAATGCCATTCACAACAAACCTCGTGATGATCGAATTAAATTCTTTAAGCGCATCCCGATTATTAAATTTGAAAATATACCACTCAATTATTTGTATCGTGAAGATGTGTGCTCTTTTCTCGGAGATGTTATTCCTGGCAATGATTTGGAAGAGTTATTTAGAGAATTTAGAAACATCATGCCGAGCAAGAACACTCGTAGGAGAGTAGATACACTCGCATATGATAGTCAAAATAGTGAAGAATTTAATCATGTGAAAACAAAATTATTGCAATTTCAAAATTCATACAAATATTGTCCACAAAGCGTTCTTAATCAAACCACACAATCGGAACGTTTATGAAAGCAGAATATATGAATGAAATGTTTGTTTATGCATTGACGGAGGATGATTCGGAACTCGTTTCTTCTTTTTCATTACTGAGGTCAATCTTAGATGAAAAAATTCTAAAGTCTCCATGGCCTTCATCATTCAAACTGAATGATGCAATTTTGATCGAAAATGTTAACAGTACGCACAAGAAAAAGAAAACCAAAGATAAGGTATTTCCAATTGTTTTTCAACCTGCAAAACATGTCGTTTGGGAGATTAATTTGTCGGAATCTTGGACACCAATGGTGAAAAAAGAAAAGAAGGTACCAATTACGGATGTAAAACAAGTACTGCTCATGCAAGAGAAGGCAGCCTCTTCTTCATCTCTACAAATCCATGTATCTAGCTCGAGTGATTCAATATCAAAATCATTGGTGACGATACCTGCAGCAAGCACGTCAGAAAATCCAAAAGAACCTGAACATATCACAACTAATATTGAAGTTGATTTTACTTTATGGCCTCAAGATTATTGTCTTCAAGGAGTCGTGTCATTTGGGAAAGCAATTCGACTATTTTCAAATTTCTCTATTCAAAAGAACGAACTCACATTTCTAATTTCAAAACAAAATTTAACCAATCTTGGAGATCAGAATTCAATACCAGAGCTAACAGTAAGAAATTCTAAAAAGATTACTCTCAAGAAGGAAAGAATTTCCCAAGCATGGATGATTCATGAGGAGGGAGCATTTGGCTTTTCATATGATGGAGGCGTTTCCGGAATTGTATCTTCACTGTTTTTTGATTCCTCCTTTTCATTCATTGTCTTTAACGCTCCAATTCAGAAACCAGTAGTTACATTATTTCAAAACGTTCTGCAAACGACATCCTTTGATAAGAACCTTATCAAACAAGGTGTCTTGACGCCGCAACAATTGAAAGAATTCATGCAATCACAGAAATTATCGATTCATACTACTAATGTTGAATTAGCCACTTCCCAAAGGAATGACAAAAGTACAAGGCTCAACCTCAAGAACATTAGCAGTAGTAATGTCACAAATCATATTAACACGAGTGACAAGGTTGATAATAATAGTAATACAACAATTTCCAGTTCAGTGATAATCGATCCTTTGCACATTACACATGATTCTGCAAGCTTTCATAGTCCGAAAAAGAAAGCTGCAAATGCCAAAGAAGCAACATACAACAAGGGCAAGCGTATCTCAAACAATTCAACTATCTTGAATGAGCATGACTTTGATGTGGTAGAGGACCAACTCTCTCAAACCTCAGCTTGTTACGATGAATATGATCAATCAGTACCTACTGAACCAAATGTAAAGAAGAGAAAATTGGAAAACGAAGATGCTACCAATGCTCTCTCGCAATTACCTGAAGTGGACAATGAAAAGGTCCAAATTTTAAAACGTTTACATCAATATCAAATTTTATCAAATGAAGAATATCTCCAAAAAGTAATATTGATTGATGCAGTCGAGCGATACAAGAATGGTGACTCCGCTTTGATGAAAGATATTATTGAAAAGAAGAAGGATTTTTTAGCTGATTTTTCATCATTCCCTCAATTCATTTGCCCTCTAACAAGGACGCTTGCTAAAGATCCTGTGTTGGGAGATGATGGCCGTATTTATGATAAGGAAGCTCTAATAGATTTGTTGACAAAGAACTGTACACAGCCATCAACAGAGCGTGCAAATGACCATAGAGTCACAAAAATTTCAATAATCCAAAGCGCTACGAAAGAGGTCTATCAAATTCTAGATTCCAAGTTACAGGTCATCTTTGAATTTTTACAGCATGTCATTTCTGAAATGTCAATTTTTGATATGGCTTTGCTACCGCTTTTGACAATATTTATTCGAATGGATTATCACCAGAAATATACATTGAAAGCACATTATTTGAAGTTTAAAATCATTGAGGCCAACATTTCGCTATTTAGGAGCAATGAGCAGAACGCAACAGATTTTTCATTGAAAGCGCTTCAAGATTGTATGGGCAAAATCATTACTTTAGAAACAGAAAAATCCAACATGATTCCTCTGCTGATTTTTGCGTTGAAGGAAAAATTTCCAAAAGATGTTTTCGATTGTTTTTCTTTATCACTCTACATTGCCTGTGAATTCCAACCCGAATTAATGTACCGACAACTTGTTCAGGCGAAAAGTGAATTTCTTTACAATAATATTTTGAGTGCCGTTTACGCTGTGGCTCAGTTGAGGAGCTCCAGGTTCTATCTTAATTGAAATGCATGTCTTTTGCTGAATTCTTAAGGAACATTAAGATAGAACCTGGAGCTCCTAGAACAACACACCTTGCACATTTGTTGCTTCTATTATGTGACAGTGAATTACGTTTGCTAGAAGAAAAAGGATATGTCTCTAATAAACCAACCAACCTGTAGCACAATCCACCAAGTTGCAAACCATCTCTTGATCAAAGTGAAAATGAAAACATGACAATTTATATTACAAACTCACAAAATGAGACTCAGTTTATTTGGCTGTCGTTGTTTTTGCGGTGGTAGAAGCGGATAAGGTTGTAGCACTTGTGGGTTTTGGAATGGTTGCCTTCTCGTAAAGAACCTTGTTGAGCCAATTAACCAAATCATGATATGCCTTAAGTCTGTTCTCTCGCGATGAAATACCGTGTCCCTCGTTGGCAAAGAGTTCCAATTTGGAGTATTTGAGTTGAGTTTTTCCTGGCTTGGTTGATTCTTGGATGAGTTTCTTGTACCAGTTTTCTGCTTCCTCTGCAGGCACTCTTTCGTCATTCTTTCCTTGAATGATAAACATTGGAGCAATGACATTGTCAATGTATGTCACTGGCGAAATACTCTTAAGGAAGTCTTGTTGAGTGTGATAATTACCATATTCTTCATAACGTTGTCTTCTTCTAAATTCTGCTGTATTCTTATAGAAGGTAATTAAATTGGTCATACCAACAATGGACACTCCTGCCTTGAAGTATTGAGGAATTTGAGTCATACATAAATTTGTTAAATAACCTCCATAGGAACCTCCTCCAAGAACTAATCGGTTTCCATCAATACCCTTAAACTTTTGTAAGAAGGTGACAATGGCAGCAACGTCCTTGACTGCATGCATTCTCCTTTCGACATTGTCAGCATCCATGTATTTTCTTCCATAGCCCTTAGAACCTCTGACATTAGGAACGATGACTGCGTATCCTGACAAGACTAAAAACTGGATGAGAGGACTGAAAACAGGTCGGCTCTGACTCTCTGGACCTCCGTGCAATTTGATGATGGCTGGGAATCCATCCTCTGGAGCGTCACCAGATGGTAAATACATGAAGAAAGGAATCATGAGCCCGTCAAAGCTGCTCACACTCACTAACTTCTCCTTGACAAATTTACCTTGAACAGCTCGAACGACCTTTGGAAGACGGTCATCGGACAACAATGGCCAATAAACAGCAACGTGTCTAAAGGTTTGCTTTGGAACAAGGGTAGTTGCTGTTGAACCATTTTCCTTCTTCTTGGCTTGCTGACGTGCCAACTTTCTGATTGCTTTTTGCTTCTTCTTGTATCTGATATTGTACGGATCTAAATCAAGCATATAAATATTAACTGGATGAGTGGAATCAGTCATAGTGACAGCCATCAAATTACCATCGTGAGTAATGGCAGAGCTGTGACCGAATGAACGAGCATCACCGTGAACAATGACACCATTTTCGAGAGGCAATGGAACTGGAATGAGAGGAGTCTTAAAGCCAGATGGACCAATTCGTGTCTTGTAAAGTTTGCTGTAACCACCTTCGTTGAGCTCAATGTAGGTCCATCTCGTACGAGCGTTACCCAAAACACCTACAACATCGTGCTTATACTTTTCCATTTCTGGAATTGTCACAAACTTTGGAGTATTAGATTTCATGTCGCCTTGGAAATCCAAAATAGCCAATCTCAAGAAATCTGATTGATAGTCTGTATTGACCAACATTTTAGTGTGTCCACGGTCCAAGAAACGAAGAGGATACCATCTCAATTTAGCACCTCCACAGAGTGGTTTAGTCAAAGGTGTAAGTGTTCCATCTACAAGATCCTTCAAGATCAATTCATTGTGAACGTTGCTGTATCGTTGTACAAGCACGATTTGAGTCTCGTCAGAAGACATGAGAGTAGCACGTGGAATACCATTCTCTGGTGTGTAGATACGTTCAGCTGGAGAAGGCTTTCCATCCTTACCAATCAATGGGAATGGTCTTCTGTACAAGTCAAAGAACTTTTTGTTACGAGCATTCGATTGATAGTACAAGTGATTCTTTGTGACGTGATTGATTAAGTGCTTGGCCTTCATGTCTTTGGTCAACCAGAAGTGTTTGGATTGAGGTGTAATGATACCAATTTGGAAGTTTTCATTACCACCGCGATCATGATAATACAAAATAGACCCATCGTGGAGGTATCTTGGAGCAGAGCACCTGAATTTGGTATGAACCAAACGTACTGGCTTACCGATAGTCTTTCCCTTCTTTCTATCAATCTTAATCTTGTAAATCTGGAAAACACCCGAAGAGGAAGAGACAAACACCATTTCATTCTTGAATGGGTGGAATGCTGGGCCACCAACAGCTGAAATACTGAAAATATTCTTCAGTCTATTCCAACGACGAGAAGTAAGCTTGATGGCGTGAGCAATTTTTGGATGAAGTGAGGTTTTGCTTCGTGTAACTTTGATCTTTTTGAGGGAAGATGGTTTGCTTTTGGATTTTCTTGTTGTTATCTTCTTTGAGGAAATGCTCTTCTTGGTGGACTTTTTAGTGGAAGAGCTTGTTGGTGATGTCTTCTTCTTTCTGGAACCATGCTTGCTCGTTTTCTTTTGTATTTTCTTTGAAGAAAACGACTTTTTAGATGGTCTTGTTGTAGTGGTCGTGACAGGCTTTTGTGGTCTCACGACATTGGTAGACTTTTGTACAGCCAAAGCAGCTCCAATCGCTCTCTCTTCTTCATTCTCGTCGTAAACAAGTAATTCATCAGAAGCAGTCGCAACACCTTCTCCCAAAATAGCATTATCTAAATGAGCATACAAATTTACGGCTCCATCACTTCTTGCATTGAGAATCTCATCATCGCTCACAAGCAAGTTTCCGGAGCTTGAATATTGATCGACAGAAGCCTCTCCTCTAACTTTTCCAAAAATTAAAATTGCAATCAACACGAATAGTAGAACTAGATAGGTACTAGTCTTTTTCATGTTGTTCGATGGTTTCTCTAATTGTTGTTGTTGTTGTTGTTGTTCTAATTCTCTTTGTCAAAATAAATAGGAATCAAAAAACGCACACCAAAATTTGAGCCTATCCGATTTGTTCAGCTTGAGAAATCTCTCGAGAGGAACGTTTGATTGTTCTCGTAGAGTACTCCTATGAAGATGATGATTTTTGCTGAAACAACAATAAGGAACAAAAGGCTTGATGATGCCTGGTGCGGTTGAAAATTTTTTTATGATGATGAAACGATATGACCCGACAGTTGATGAAAGCGCCTATAAGAAGGGTATGAAACACAATGAACCAAAGGTTAGCCGCGAGTATTAGACTAATTTTGATGTTCAGTGATCCGTTTAATATTGGGGCTTTCAAAAGAGATATATAATGAAAGAGAGTAACGAATTTTTCTTTTCAATCCCATGACTTGTTCTTTCCTTCAATCATCATCCAAAGCACTCATCATGAATCGGAACAATTATGGCTAAAGGGAAGAAAATTAGATTGCTTTTCAAAGAAAAACATCATTAGGGGTACATGGCAAAATAGAGATCTCATGCAAGAATTAGCTTTTTGCTTGTAATATCATCCCCAACAACATTCCGAGTCTTCTTCAACGTTCAACTGCCAATTGAAATGGCAAACGGACCATGATGGAATGGACTTTGCGAAATAACACCAATTGTGGAGATGATGATGATCATTTGATCATATTGGTTGTATTGTTTCAGAGTCGTGTCCAAACACTCCAAAGAAAGCAAGTCGCAACGTTGATTCATTGTCAAGGTCAAACTTTTTGGATGGACTTTCCAAAACCACAAAATTTATTTCTTACTTGACGTTTGCTGCTATTTGTCATCTTCACGCATTGGATGGCAAGATTTTTCAAAAGAAAAAAGAAGAAGTAACTCCTCCTTGTCCGTCAATATTGGATCCAAGAGAGAGATAATTGTTACGTGGTGGCAAAACAGTCCTAACAACAACAACAACAACATTCATCTCACAACAACGTTTCTCTCGGATTGATTTCTCAACAACAACAACATGTTCTTGTCGATGATCAAACGGAACAGCACATTGGTGATGCAATCCATGGCATCTTCACCCACTTCACCCACTTCTCCCAATGAACCCACTCCCTCCTCTCTTTCAGTTTCTAGAGCATCTACACAGTCTCAAGTCACGTTTCCATCTCAAGCAGTGACGACGCTACATTCGTTTCATCCATCATCTTCCTCTGCTAATTCCTCTCCACCGTTGGGCCAAAAAGATCCTTCACAAGAACAAGCACTTCTCATTCAACAACATTTATTCAAACTGATTGAAGAGACAACCTCCCTATACCAAATACATTTTGAAAGCTGTCTTTCCAATGAAACGACACTCCTGCCAGCATTCAAAGAATTCCTTAAATTTGAACATAACCTGAGTGCGTTGGATTTTATTTTAATCACTGAAGAATATATGATGGATAGCAATGAGACAAGTTCGAGTGAGACATGTTTGAGCGAGACATCCAATAATTCGTCAGCATCACCAATCAAGCATGAACACATGTCAAAATCCAAGTTGTGTTCTCTAAATGACCACAGTAGTGGTTGTTTAAAGAGACAACAATTTGAAAAGATTCAATTCATTATCGAAAGATTTCTCACTGACGATTCGATGGATCAAATTAATGTTTCAAATTCCTCACGTAGTGAAGTTTTGAAACGATTCGAAGAATTGAAAGAAAATATCGAACGTATGAATGATAATGATCTTTACTTGTTCGAAACTTGCAAACAAGATGTTTATTTAGAATTAAGAAATGACAACTTTGCAAGATTTTTAAAGAGTTCATACTTTTCAAATGCCATCTTGTCCATCATTTCACAAGATTTGTCACTTCCTAAAAAATCAAACATGCTCACTCCTGAATTTTTGCAAGATTTCACGACCTTACTCGAATTTCAATTATCGGCCATTGGAGAAAAGAGGAAAGGTAATACAATGGCTCATTCAAGTACAAATATTTCCGAAGTTGATTCTTCCGCCACTGAATTAGACGGTCATCAGATCCAAAATCAAGAAGATTACCAGGAAGTGAGACATGCTTTGAGTGAGTTATTTAAGGAAAAGAAACAGAAAATAGTGACAGGATATCATTTGGACATTTTTAGGAAAATGAATGACATGGATGGCATGTGGCAACAAATTCACAAAACAAAGCACATGGCAACTTACAAAAGTAAGGAAAAGTTTGTCACCTCAAAAGTTGCAAAATCGAAAGGAATTTTGTTGATTAAGGAAGTTTTGACCGTTGAGGCAACACCTGAAGAGCTCTTGAGCACAATCATTGATTCGAGATTTATATCGATTACTGAGCCAACTCTCACTCAAATCGAGTTTAAAGAGTTTATTGAAGGAGGACAAGTCGTCACTGTGAAAAGTGGCAGAAAAGGCTCCAAAACATTGGAAACAAAAACTCATCCAGTCTCTTGTTCGAGATCAATCATCAAAACTCCGTGGCCACTCTCGGACCGAGAAATATATTGCGCCACTTGCGTTCGAAGAGAATTCAACCCTTTTACTCGACAAAAAACAGATTTTACCATATTTAGGAGATCGTATGACCCTGAAGAGGAGACAGTTGCCAAAGGATGTGTGAGGGCCTTTTTTTATGGAGCAATCATCATTGAGCAATTGAACGAAAAGGAATGCAAAATCTCTGGATTGGCTTTCATTGAAGCTGGTGGTAAAATTTCTTCGTCACTGTGGAACAAAATGCTCACAGCTCGATCTTCGCAGGTTTCCAAGAATTTAAGAAAAGGGCTCCAAGCTCGACGAAAGATGAGTGAAGAGGAGAGGAAAATAACTTCAGAAAATTCATTGAAAAATATTGACACGTTGATCTAGACTACGTTGAGTACGTGTGGCCCCTTTTTGATATTTCATTGCCTTGCACATTTGTAGAGAATGTTGGAGCTTTCATGTAAATATCGTCATATACAACAAGACTCTGAGAATATTGACATCAATAAAATCAAGTTTTTGACAGTTTGCCTTTTAAAGGAAACATGTTATTTTGGAATGATCATCAACATCTCTGCACGAAATTGTTCAAACTCCAACTTCAACCTAATTTTCGAAACAGAAGGGACGTTGATATCAATCACATGGAAGAAAAGACTTTGTGTTAACACCTTACTAAAAAGTCAAATGTACAGTTTTGCATTTTGAGTGTTAAATTTAGCCACTTCAATTTACCAAAGAACAAGAAATGTCAACACAACACCACGAAGAATCCTGCACAATGCCAATGTCAACTGCCAAATGTCAACACGTGCCAACAACACCCTTCTCACCACCATTTCTTACCAACAACAACACCTCCAATGCAAACTTGATCCCAACCAACTTGGATACTCCCTTCTCCTCTCTCTACACTACAAACAGCTACTCTTCCAGTCTTCAAAAGCAACAACCTTTCAATCCTTCAAATACAACTCTTTATCCACAACAACAACCTCCAATTCTTTCCTCATTTCCATCCTCCTCAAATTATTTTCAATCATCAATCTCTTCAGGAGATTTGAGAAATCGAAATGCTGATCAAAGTGGTGTGAGTAACACTTTACACAACTCCTCTCATTCAACTCCTGTTTCGACATCAAATGTCATGTCCAATCCAACAACGAGTCTCGCAGTCCATTCTAATTCATATTCTCATCAACAGACGACCATCGATCCTGTGGCCGCTCCACTTCAATCCTCCTCCCATCCTCCTCCACCTCAACCACCTGTTGGATTATTTACAACAGTTAGCAACAACACAAGCAATAACAAATTGATATTTAATGCAACATCGAATCAAAATCGCTTGCAAGCATCTTCCTCTGCTGTGGGTGGAAATTGGAGTCCATCTGTCACTCATCTCCCAAATATGTCGACTCCAATCAAGACAGTTGCGAGTGGCCTCCCAAAGAACATTCCAATACTCCAAACAAATATCAAACGATCAAGTTTGATTCAAAAACCAAACTATGGAGACGTCTCCACGACAACTGACAGTCAATCCTCTCCTCCACCTCCATCACAACAATTATCCACTCAATCCTCGACTCGAAACTTACCAAAAGATGCAGTTGCAATTCTTAAAAATTGGTTTTTCGAACATCAAACACATCCCTACCCAACAGAAGAAGAAAAAGCCATGCTCTGTGAAAAAACAGGTCTCTCTCAAAAACGTATCAATTATTGGTTCATTAATGCAAGACGTAGATTATTACCAAATTTGAAGAAGGAGGAAAAGAAAGCCAAGTCTGTCACATCAGTTCCTGGAAAAAGAAAGAGGAGAATGGATGAAAGAAGATCACATCCTTCTGAATCATTGTCACGTTTCATTTCTACGACTCATTCGGATGGAGCAGATGAAATGGATGTTCATATTGATCATGATGATTTGGGTGAGGAGAATCGTTGGGTTGTGGAATGTCTGTTGGAGTTGTCCAAGAATGAGAATTGATTCTTTACAACAAGAGAGGTCGAGAAAATGATGCACAAATTGCGATTAAACTTTCAAGATTGTGTGTTCTTGGAAGGTCTTTCAATTCGTCTAACACGTTTTGCCAGAAGAAATATATTTTCTACATGATGAATGTTACTCTTCACATGTGCCCCATTCTGAGAATAACTTGAGCAACATGTCACATGTCTTTTTCGATTCATGGGAATAAGGATGCAGCACTTTTGTTATAGTCAACCATGGTTTGGATTGTTTGAAAACTTGTCGAAACAATTTCTCATTTTGGTAATAACTTTTAAGCTTTCTAATATTGAGTAAAACGTCAGCTGATGATAAACTTGAAATCTTTGTGGCAACACGAGCGGTTGACAGAGCATTGCTCAAAAGTAAATTGAAGAGAGAGAAATGTCGTTCTCTAAAGACATCATATCGAGTCGTGTATAACAAGTTTTGATAAAATTCTAAAATCTCCTTTGGTTGATCTTTGGAAAGTAAATATTCGAATACTTCAAAACGCTGAATTGCTTCCATTAAAATGTGATCGCCGTTACTATTTTTCACTCTGTCTATTAAGTCAATAAATCCTTGTTCTATTGTCAACGTTTGATAAATATTCTTGAAGATTTTCCAAACTTTTTCTGGTTGCTTGGAAATATGCAAATGATGGCAAACGGCGGAGATTAATGTGAACATTACATTTCCAAGAGCATGTTTAGTAGAAGAGATTTTAAACACATCAAGCTCATTGTTGGTGATTTTCAAAAAGGTTTTTCTGATGGTTGAAATGTATCTGCAGTATAGAGTTAGAATTGTGTGGAAATTCTTATTCATATCGAAATGTGCCAGAGTCACAAATGCTTCAGAAATCATGATATGAATGGGATAAAAATCTGCTAAATAATTCATAATATCATTATGATTCATAGCATAGCGTTCATAAAAATCTAAAATCAGATCAATAACATCAACTTGACAATTTTTGAGACTTGTTGTGAAAATTTCCAGTTTCTTTAAAAGAATTTCAAATAGTAATTTGGTTTTTAGATGTTGTGATAATTCAGAATTGTCAATGACATTTCTTTTCAACAACCTAATAAACAGTTGGGGAAAGAATTTAGCTATCTCTGAGTACAGTATTGTTGTCATTTCATAATTTCTCAAAAGAGGAATATTAAGGTCAACAAAGAAAGTTAAAATTAAATACTCAGCCTTTTTGAGCATTTGTTTGTTCTCAGTGTTTTTCACTGGTGGTACCTTCTTTGTCAAGCTAGAGGTATCATTGGAGAGTATAGTTTTCATTATATCTACCACTTGTCTGGTTATTAATTTGATATATTCACTCTTTTTGGGAATGCAAGGATACTTTTTCACATTCTTTTTTAAAAACACAAGAAAGTGCTCCCATTCATCCATAGAAAGTTTCGAGATAGCAATTGATTCATAGCTGTAAGCAATTCCTTTCAATGTTTGATAATTTCTAAAGCCAAAACATGGGCACATTAAAAACCAATATGAAAAACACACAGGTTCATATATGGCTCTATGAACTGCTTGATCGATTGGAGTGGTTAACACATATTGATGTCCAGGAAGAGCCAATGTTCCAGTATTTAGAGTAGATGAAATAATAAATCCCAAAATAGTTTCACTGTCGTAATATTGTAACAATCCGTTATTAGAATCTTGTGAAAGCTATTCTTGCTCACAAGTACAAAATTGAAAATCTCTTTCACAATCAATTCAACACCTCTTCTCAATAACAAGTCTTCCTTTCTTGTCACTGCTTCTGAATTAAAGTAGGTAAAAGTTAAAGAGTTAAACATTGGAATCATTTTCGAAACTTGTTCTTGAGAATGGATCGTGTAAGAGATGAATTTCTCCATTCTTAAAATTACGTTTTTCAACACAGTATTTGTATCTCTCTTACTCTCATCATCAAACACTCTTCCGTTCAAAACTTGTTCCAAACTTGAAAAGAATGGAATAGTAAAATCAATAATATTCAATAATATTTCAGGAGGTAATTCAAGAAACCGAGTTTTGATGATTTGGTTTTGAACCGCCACTGGTTGGATCCATCTCTTATCTGATCTCTCTTTCAATTGATGTTTTTTGAACTTGTTCCAACCAAGTTTCATCTTGCGAGCGTCGTTCTCCTCATGTTCTAAAAATTCATCATCATCATCTCCTTCGGGAATCCTATCAATTATCAAATCATCCGAGTTCTCCTCTCTCTCGCATAAAAATTCATCCTCATATTCCTCTTCATCATAAAAGTAGTGAGAAAGAAGTTCCGAGGATTGAATTGGAAAATTCATTTTTTTTTAATCTTGAAAAAGAACACTTTTCAACAATTTGTGTTTGGCGCAACATCTAAGGTTCTGTTTGAAAATGAACGAAATGAAACAGTGTGACTTGGATTTTTGTCCGATTTCCTATTGGAGAAGTGGTTGTGAGATTGGATAAATGAACTTTGTTGATGGACAACGTCTGCTTGATTTCGTTCAAAAAAATTAACACTTGGCAGCTTTACAAACATTGGAAATTTTTTCAATGAAGCTTGGTCTTGAATACAGAGTGTTGGTCGTTGGTCTGTTTCTGACATGCATACACGCCCAACTCATGCCAGCTGCCAAAACATCACTTGGTAACGGTCTCTATGACTTTGGTGTTGCAGTGAACAAAGCCAACTCGAGAGGTGTCGTCGTCACCAAATGCGGTCCCTCTCAATACGAATGTATTCTCTCTCCCATGATGGACTCCACAGGAGTGTTCGCCCTTCTTATGCCAATACAGGTGTCACTCGTCAATTTAATTATTTTTCACAAGCTCTCACTGCTCAAACTCCAGTCTTTGCTTCTCTTCTCTCCAAAGATGGCCAATATTATTACAATCATTTTCGAGATTATTTCATGCAATTCGATACTCTCTCCATGTCCTTCACATATATCATTCAAACGTCACATGGAACTTCCATGGGTATGACCGAGGATGATTCTGGAGTCGTTCGGTCAGCCACTCATCCCAATAGTGGATTAGTGAGTTTTAATCCCAAAACAAGACAATTTAGAGATTATGGATTTGTCTATAAACAGACATGGTACATGTATCAGAGAACTATTGCCGCGGATGATTTAGGATTAATTTATATTGCGATCGGTTCCGCAAAGAGTCAATTTGTGTGTTTTCACCCAAATACTACTCAGTCTTGGCCATTGTTGTGTGAAAGTCAACGAATTGCTGGAAGTCCATGGTTGTATCGAGACAATGATGGAAAAGTTTATGGACTGAATGTGAATTCGAGTCCCATGTATATGTTTTATGGAGGAAACATGATTGAATTATCAACCCTCATACTCGTAGTTACAAGTTTTACATTACTGGAACTCAATATTTGTTTTATGGAAATTTCCAATCTGGGAAGGTGTTGAAGTCGTTTGATCCAGAATCGAAAACATTCTCCATTCAATATCCTAATAATGGATCCATTCCAGGGAACATCGTTACACTCAGTTTTAACTATACAAGTCAAGGTGCGACCTTCATTGACATGAGAATGACACCTGACGGCAAATACATTTCTGGTGCGTCACAATTTCCAATGAATTTCTTTACCATGGATGAGAATGGAAATTTCACCAATTATTTAGCTTGGGATCAATTCAATGTTGTCAAATCTGTTCCATTCGATTCAAGATACATGTTTTTTGGCTCCTACTCCGATGGCTCCTTATTGCAATACGACACAACTCGTCCAAGGGTGAACGCTGAACTCGGTAACAATGTTTCGAATCCAATTTTACTAGCATCAGCAAATCCACACATTATTCGACCTAGTTGCATCGTCATTCATCCCAATAAGGATTTAGTTTTGATGAACAGGTGGTGGTCTTCTCCTCTGGAGTCGAATGAAATCTCAAGCCATTGTTTTAAATCACACACAACTCACTGAAAATCATTCCACTCATAGCATGGTTCTTCATCCCAACAAGAGTGATGTATTAATTGCTGGCACCACCATTGCTCCTGGTTCAGTTGGTCAAGTGTTGGCCTCTCTCGCTCAAATCTATTTCTTGAATTTGACAACACATCAAATTTTTTGGAATCAATCCTTGTTGCTAGGAGTGTCTTATTATTACGAATTATTGGCGGCACCAGAAACAGGACTAATCTACGGCATTACTGATAACAATCTCTTTTTTGTGTTGGATCCCAATTCGATGAGATCAAACACAAACCGCACTTTCACAACAAAACAGTGACACATGCATGTGTAAGTCAAGGTCCACATGTCTTTGTGCCACATGTCAATGGTCGAGAAGTTTATATCACCTTATCGACTGGAATCTTTCGAATCGAACCGTATAATTTCACGTTTACCATGGTGTTTACTTCTCAGTATGGCATGTGTGGAGGAGAGATTATGAAAAATGGATGGTTTTATTTTTATTAGTGGTTCACATGTGTACGGATTTCAATTATTTAATGGAAAGGATACGAAACCAGTGACATCCACGTTCCCACCTTCTCCAAAACCTTCGCCATTGCATTCCATGAAAAAATCTCCAAAACCATCGTTGAGTGAATGGAGTGGACAAAATCGAACAGCTGTGTCGATGGCTGTGTCTATGAAGAAAGTGGATTCGGAGGAAAGGATCATGATTTGGATAATGGTTTTGATGATTGTATTTATTTATCGATTTGATTTCAAGTAAATCTCCTGAGTTCATACTCTGGGTTGTGTCAAATGTCACGACGGTGATTTCAAATTCTCGCAACAAAAAAATGTCTTTCGTGCTCCCAACAGAACGTAACGTGGTTTATTCCTATTTCCAAAAGGTATTTATTATTTCTCAGGACAAGCTCTTCAAATTTCTCATACAATTTACCAATTTCATCTTCCGATTCAAATTTCCACAACAATCGATCTTCTAATATTTAATTATGAATTATTTAATATTAAAAAATCTGACGTCATCATTTGAAATAATTTTCCATGGTTCCAGTTCGATAAAGATAATTCCGGTCATATCAATCTCAAAGAACTTAACGATCTTTTGATCGATCTCGGATTCAAAGTCGAACATGTCACCAATGACAATGTCAAACAATGGAGAGATCCAAAAAAGAAAGAAGTCATTGCGATCGCAACTTTAATTGACAAGGATCATTCGAAATCCATTTGTTTTGATGAATTTTATAGTTGGTGGGTCAAATTGAGTGGAGATGGTTTTTCCAAGTTGGCCAAAAGAGTGAAAGTGTTGACCAATGCTTTTGAAGCTTTCCAAGTAAGTGAAAAATCAAATTTCAAAGCATCCATTCATTTGTGAAATATTTTGAATTGATGAATTCACATGATTGTTCATTTCCAATGATTCGAAACGTGTGGTACAGAAATTCGATACGGACAAGAGTGGATTTTTAGATTTTCCAGAAGAATTTAACAAATTTTATGATGAAATGTTGTCTGATGAAAATGTTTCAAAGGAAGAAGTGATGAAATCTCTTGATCGTGATGGAGATGGAAAGATTACCTTCCAAGAATTGGTGGTTTCACTTGGAATTTTAAATAATTAAGGTTCGACAGCTGGTATACAGAGCTTGTCAAACTTTCCACAATGAATGAGCTTTTTCCAACAAGAACACTTTTTCTTTTTTAATCCTTATGCTGTCAAAAGTTCAATGGTATCATTGATTCAATGGTGTTATCATTCGTTGGTTGTATTATGAATTATTGTTGTTGACAGTCCATTGAATCAATATTTACAACGAAACATACCAACTGTTGCATGTCACATGCCAACTGTTCATCTCGACTCCGCACATGTGTAGTACAAAATCTTCTCCAATTTCCAAAACAATTATCTAGCCCTCACTTCAAGCTCAACCGTTTATTTTCCCCTTACACAATCCGATTGGAGGGCAACATTACAATGACCAAAACGAAAAACCTATTCCGAATGGAGTTCTAAATGTTTGAGTCTTATCAGCCGCACATTTAATGTCCAAGAAGTCTCAGTGACATTTGGCAGATAGAACATGAATGACCACGAAAAAACACTCCTAATACCTAGCCTAGGATACACACCAAGTAAATGACTTGTTTTGAATATTTGAGATAAAAACTTTTACAATATCCTCGATCGATGCAATATTTCATTTTCGAAATATCACTTCTCGAAAAGGTGAAATACGTTTCTTCATCCAACTCTCGAATAGCCGTTTGTGAAATGGAAGAATCTTCCATCTCGACTCTTCCTCCGAAATGACACCATCCCTTCTCATGTTCTTTCCCAATCAGGAAGAGAGTTTTATCCAATTCTTGATGATATTTGAAGAGAAGAATTCCTGCAGCGGTTGTGGGTTTTTGTGGGTCTTGTTGATGAAAGAAGATGATTTTTCTGCCATTTGAAATTTTAAATAATTCCTTGTTGTTAGAGTTCATCCTTGTGATATTCGTGGTGGTGATATTCGTGGTGGTGGTGGTGGCATTTAGATTCCGGGACGTGTTGTGTTGTTCTTCCGAAGAATTTCTTCTTCTTCTTTCAAGGAAAGAGCACTCCTCATTGAGAGAAGAAGAAGCGATGAATTGGGATCAAGAGTGGACCAATTGAAAGCTGGATCCTTTTCGGAGGAGGAGGAGGAGGAGCAAACCACGACGTCGTCTTCTTTCACATCCGTGAGCTTGACAGTCGTGTTGGAAATTTTGACACCTTCTGAACTGAGTGGTTGGGTGGATGATTGCGACATTTTTATGGTTTCATTTCAGCAATAAATAACGATTTTGTCACTTGACAAAAAGAATGATTTCACAATGAGTTTATTATTGATGTTTGGACCACTCCATTCGAAGAAGGAGGATTGTTGTTGTTATTTGAACTTGACACTCCTCCCTTGGTTTGTTTCAACTTGTTTTGAATATTATGAATTTTCATTTGTTTTTGGAATTCCAAACTCAACTTGAAACGATGATGTGTGTCAATCATGACAATGGCAATTTCTTGTTCCAACTCATCGAAGAGTCTTTCAGAAAGAGTTTTTTCATCCCAAACGTAGAGACCAAAACTAGAGGTGTCTTGATCGGTGATGGAGGTTGTCGTGGTGGTGGTAGTGTTGGGAGAAGTGACTTCTCTTTTGTGCACTCTCATACTTTCCAAATTAATCATTGAAATTCATTTCACACCTTCTTTGAAAAAAAGAAACGCAAAAATCCTATGACTCCACCACTTTTCGAATTTCATCATGGCCGCGTGTGGATGCTACC